CTCTTGTTCTTGTTCTCATGTGAATGTAAATGTAACAAATAAAAAATCTTAACATTTTTACTAGGGCTCGCATAACTCGCATGACTCGCATGACTTGCATGGCTCGCCCTTTGGCTCGCATGGCTCGCTGGCTTGCAGGTTTATAAAACTTGCTATTTTGTTTCTTCATGAACAATTGATAAAAGTTTACAGATGATCAACCAACTTCTTATTTCCATAAATCTGATCACTCCTATCTCCCTCCAGCTGCTAGGCTATCACTCATTAAAAAAGATTACCACTTAGTGCCAAACTAGATCAATAATGTAAATTTGTCTTTTTGGGTGCTGAATTGTCAAGTGAAATAACCATGATTTTGGCATTACTACGTTCTTTAGTGTAGAAGAAAACTTGCAAGCTTTTTGAACCCTGACAGGGCTCGAAAAAAGTGCCGTCCCATTGCCCAGGACAAGTAGATTTTCCTTCTGGGCAAGTAACTTTACATTCTCACTTGCCCAATAGGCAAAAGACCAAGCAAGTCATCTGCCAACTAAATCATTAAAAGGGCAAACTAAGACTTGCCATGGGCAAGCAAACTTTAAGAGATACTTGTCCCAAGGGCAAGTTGGAATTCAAGTTTTTTCGAGCCCTGCCCTGAAGAAGGCAACAATGCCTAGTCATTTCAAACAAACTTACTATATCTGTACATTTTTAGTACTTCTTTGTTTTCTTTATAGCTAACTTTAAGCTTTCATCACTTTACACTCATTAACCAAGCAGTTAAACTGTTGTTACCTGCGCCATAATTTTTGCCAGGTCTGTAATGTGTTTGAAGTCCAGGTCCAGCTGCTCATTGCAATTCCTGTTCCAAATAATGAGGCTAGTTCCAGCTCAACGACACTTAAATCAGGACGTTCATTTACTGAACACACTGTTTTCCATGGCTGTCCTTGTGCTGACTTCTCTGCTATACACCTTTTAGTAAAAAAGTATCCAGTTAATGTGGTTCAGTCTTCTTTGAATTCATTACAATTCTTTCACTTTTCTTTGTTTAAACCCTAGTCTGCGTGATTGGTCAAATTAAAGCTGGAAACCAAGCAATGTGTAGTACTTTAAGGTAATCACAATCTCTTTTCATTTTTTTATTTGAGAAAATATTTTAAACTAATTTGTAGAAGCATGTTGTGGTTTCTTTGTGTCACTTATGTCAAACTCAACTGACAACAGTAACAAAGTTCATTGTCAAATACGCTGATATGTATAATAAAATATTAAGTAAATTTCTGTCAGCCAACGTAAGCTTTGTAGTACCAAGCCAGGGCTGTCAATAAGGGCTGTAACCCGTAACACCCGTTACGGCTAAGTATGTTTGATGGACCCTTGATGTTACGGGTGAACTGGCCTGTAGTTAATACAATTCACCCATGACATAACAAGTTTACTATGGCTGTGAAGATCAAGGCTACAGGTGAATTAAAACTTAATGACAGCCCTTCAAGCTTGCCGCAGAATTACTGGCTGTCGTAAGAGGGATGGTCGTGCTAAGGATGGTTTCAATTTGATTAAAGTCAGAGTATTCATGGGTCAGCACATAGTTGAGACTAATCTCCTGGCCATTGTGGAGGAGTACCATATTTACCATTTCTAAATTATTCTTAATTATTACTAACTTGATAAAATTCCTGTAGCTTTCTTCCCAAATTGCTTGGTTATGATATTCATAAACATGGCAGGCAAAGGTTGTAAATACTGTCAGAAATGATGTGAAGGAAAAGATACCTGCAAATTTAAAATGTTACTAAACAATTAGCAGATAGCTTTAAAGTGCATATGACACGAAAAATATTTTTTGCTTATTTGAAAGGCCTTTCAAAATACAGAAGAGTGGCGTTTTTCTTTTTGAAATAGATTTCTTCGTTTTAGAAATATTTATGTTTTTCTATTATGCAAATTAGATCAGTGATGACGTCATATTGTTTGCAACTAAAAATGGTGAAATACTGAATAAACAATATCTCTAGGAATATTGAAGCAGTGTTCTTGAAACATGGCACTACAAATGTACATCACAAAAGAAACAAAATGACACCCTTAATGGTGTTGCCATAGCAACTCTTTCGGCTCCAGTCTCTTTCTGTCAAAAAACCAAACATCACCATTTGCAACCTCTAAAGTGAGACAAAGGGTTCTACTTGGAACAGACACAGTTCTCATATTGTCTTAACTCCCATCATTAGATTGGGTGGGGTAGATGGTTCTTGGTTTAAGTCAAAAACTGGGAATTTCAGTTTTTATTCAGACAGCACCAGCGGCAAAACTGTTGTCATGGCAACAGCACAAGGGTGTCATTTTGTTTCCTTTGTGATGTACATCTGTGGTGCCAAGTTTCAAGAACAGTGCTTCAATATTTCTAGAGAGATTGTTTATTCAGTATTTTACCATTTTTAGTTGCAAACAATATGACGTCATCACTGATCTAATTTGCATAATAGAAAAACATAAATATTTATAAAACGAAAAAAGATATTTCAAAAAGAAAAACGCCATTCTTCTGTATTTTGAAAGGCCTTTCAAATAAGCAAAAATATTTTTCATGTCATATGCACTTTAAAAGGATGAAATGAATTGCAAGGACAACAAAGATCAACAGCAACTCACCCACTCTTATTATAGTCTCTTTTATTTTATGTGCTGCTCTGTTACTTAGAAAATTAGGATTTGATCTGCGTAGTTTACACAGAGTTACAAGTCCTATGAACAGAAAAGAGACAATCCTGATAATTAGCCAATCTGACCAAGCAATCACTATAAAAACCATGTTGTTCACAATTTTGCCATAAGCCTTAATTCTGAAATGCCTCATCTACAAAGGAAAGTACTATTCATGCCGGGTAACCCGAAAACACTGACCCCCGGTCCGCGGACCCCCACTACGGACCAGGTCCGCGGACTACCTATGGACTGGTCCACCGACTCCCCCAATGGACCCCCTCTACGGACCACCCCCCAAACTATAATAAAATTAATAAATAAAATATTTCAGTTACAGGTTGTCTAGTAGATTACTCGTGACGGCGAAATTACGAACGTTACATTGTGCAAATGTAACAAACCTGGATTNCCCATTCATGCCTCAGAAAAATTTAGGATGGCATATTTGCAAAACAGAAAAGCCAAAGTTAAAGATAAATGACAATCTTCCGAAGATGACAAAGGTCTTTGTAGACATAAAGGGTTGTCAAAGGCAGCAAAACCCGTTGTGTACTTCATCACCTTGGTCAGCTATACATTTTGCTGGACTTTCTTCGGATTTTTTTTTTAATGGCAAAATCAGTCGCCAACAATAGAGTCCCCTACATGTACCAGAATGAGATACTGTTACTCGCTGAATGTGGTATCCATACCTTGTGTTAAGAAGATCCCTCCTACAAGTAAATCAAGGCTTAAAGGTACCAACAAGAAGATTGCTCTCATGCTGGGATTCTTATACCCCACAAAACAGATTCCACTTAAAGAGTTAGCATCAACCTGCAATTTGAATATTAGAAGTGAATTGTATAATAAATAGGCTTCTGTACATTATGCTTATACTTCCCCACTAAAATGCTCCACCTTAATGCTCCATTTTTCCCACTAAAATGCTCAGTCTACCTGCAAGAAGTCACTAAAATGCTCGGTTAATGCTCATAAGGTTTTTTTTATTTTAAAAAAATTAATGTTTTAACACAATTAACGGCTCAGGGTGCTTAAAAAACGTATAACTCAACGTATATAAAGTTTTAATAATGATCTCTTAATTTGATTTGACTACCGCTGACCTCTCCTCAGTCTCCACTCGGCTGTATTAGGGTGGCATTTGAAATTTTTGGAATCTCAAGTTAAGTCTTCATTTTCACGTAAGAAAAATAATTTTAATTTCTATTCCCTGTAAGTGGAAAAAGAATAATTTTTCGGGAAAATGCCACTAAAATTCTTGAATAATGCTTAATGCTTTTGCCTCACTAAAATACTCGCAAAAATGCTAGCATAATGTACAAAAGCCTAAATTATAATAAATTATGATGTATTTTACCACTGTTATTTTTATTAATTAATTTATCATGGTTTTTAAAAGTATGATTACAATTTAATAGTTTATGACAAATCAGAACATTCACTTAAACAGCAATTATAGAAGAAATGTAAACATGTTAAAATATACAAAAACCAAACTTGACAGAAGACTGTTGATTAAAAGGAACTTTTTCTGGGTATAAATGTTTTGTCATGTTTGGAAAATGTTCATATTCTTGTCAAAGACATCTTAAAAAATTCTCAAAATGAATCCATTGATTGTACACAATTTACTAGAAAACCATTTGAGATCAGACCGACATGTTAAATTAGCATTTATTTATTTATTTATTTTGACTTCTAATTAAATTAATGGATCAATCTAATTACACTAATGAATCGAGTGATCACCACCTTACCTGTTTCAGAGCAAGAACACTAATTGCCAGGGTGAGAGGATACGTCCAGGCTATGATGTGAAAGTATACCACTTTCCCAGCAAAATTATCTCTTGTGCTGCCAAGAGACTTGAAGCAGATGGACCAGGAAAAGGCCAGGATAACAAACCAGACAGCACCAACCATTGAGAAGTAGTACACCAAGACGAAGGTTAAAATACAGAGAAAACAGTCATTCTCACTGAAGAGAAAAAACAGGTATGATAAGATCAACAGAGGCAGTGATGAATTATTTTATAGGCTACTGATGTACACATGTTTATAAATATCTATATCAAATGTTTTTTCCCTTGCAATTGATCTTAACATGTCATTGTCAAGTCTTGTCTAGTTAAAGTAATTTTCATTGCTATCATACACAAACAGCCATTCTCGCAAAAGACACATTTCGTGCTGGCATATACAACGTAATTTACGAGAGTCGCATATACACACATTTTAGCTCGCGTATATATGGGTCCTTGTAGGACGT